CCGCTCGCTACAGCTACGCTTAGGTCAAATGCTCAAGGTCGTTCGCATGGAGTAGCCCCTTAATGAAAACAGTCGCGCGCACATACACACACACACACACACACACACACACACACACACACACACACACACACACACACACACACACACACACACACACACACACACACACACACACACACACACACACACACACACACACACACACACACACACACACACACACACACACTTTTTTAAATATTTTTTATATATTTTAGAGTCTGTATTGTACACGGAAAATCAGATCACTTAATGGGTGGGAAACTGCCTCCTAACATACAGGGTAACCTAGTTTAGGAGTCAGAGAACCAATGAATTGTATATTATATCTGTGTTCAATAAAGAATTATTATTATTAAGAGAGTACGTCTATTTTCTAAGGACATTATTTTATGATTTCGACAGCCTGTAACATAATCAGAATAAGTGTGAGTTCTATAATTCAGGTGATAGATATAATATGTGTATAGTGATAGGTAAGTATAACTTTTTACTATTGGCTGGTTATCATTGATTCGATGTTTTATGAAAATACTTCGATACATCGAGTATATCAATAACTTTCCAAGACATCGGATCGATTCGATGCATCGATGCGATGTATATCGAATATCCCTATTCCCTAGTAATAGCAAAGATATTTTATAGTAAAAAGATTGCGCATTCACGACTGACAAACGAGCTGAGCGAGATAGCGCTTTTTAGAGATGCGTCCTACTCTATTAGGGTGACTACACGATTTGTTGCTACGAGGAAAAAAGGACAAAGTGATGCTAAGGGATTCTTCTATATTTATTTTATTGGGAACAATAAACAACGATTACAACAATACATATGTCATTTATCAAGAAATATGTATAATCTACATCGTTATATTTTATTAATAGCTTAATATAGGTATATAAAAACTTGTATTACCTACTCACTCTGTATTAAGAGAGAAAAATAAAAGACTATAGACAGAAAAGTCAGTTTATTACCAAAACTATATTGATTCTGTAGTATGTGTAATACAGGTAAGCAATGCTTATATATTGCTAAACAAAATTGTCTTGTGTAACTTTTGACGCATGGTGGCTTTGTGTCCAATCAATTTTAACGTTTCGGTTTTTCCATAAGCCCTTAATCTTAATTTTAAAAAAATTGTCGCTATCCATTTAACCATTTCTGTCTCATACCTATTTTCACACTTTATAGAAAGTGTAGTGGCGGGTAAGAATACTCACTACCCCATATCTTCCCGTGGGTGTCGTAAAAGGCGAAAGGGAAATTGAGGCAGAGGATGGGCAGCAGCATCTTTCTGACAACACCAAAACAACAATAAAAAACTGCGGTTGCCAACCCGCTCGCCAAGCGTGGCAACTATGGCAATATACCTCCCATGAAAGTAACGAAGAGACGGCCTCCAGTCCCCGGCGGCCCCGCTATTCCTGGCTACGGTGGCGACCATGGTAACGGCGGGGCAGGGGGTGCTAAGAATCTCCGGTGGAGGTTCGGTTACCACCTACGACGACTTGACCTGGCAACTTATAACGCATGCAGCCTGAGGACTGACGAGAAGATCCTGGAGCTGGAAGAAGAGATAGACAAGTTGCGCTGGAATGTCATAGGATTATCCGAAGTCCGAAGAGAGGGGGAGGACACGGTAATCCTCGAATCCGGCAATTTGTTCTATCACCGGGAGGGTGACCATCTGTCCCAAGGAGGTGTCGGATTTATCGTCCACAAGTCTCTCGTTAACAACGTTGTAAAGATTGGGAGTGTGTCGACGAGGGTTGCGTACCTTATACTCAGAATCACCCAACGGTATTCGCTGAAGGTCATACAGGTTTACGCACCAACCTCGGCACACCCCGATGAGGAGGTGGAGGAAATGTATGAGGATATATCTAGAGCCATGCATTCCTCCAAAACCCACTATACGGTGTTAATGGGAGACTTCAACGCAAAACTAGGCACAAGAGAGAACGGTGAGCAAAAAGTAGGGAATTTCGGAATAGGGCAACGGAACACAAGGGGCCAGCAGCTGGCCGACTTCATGTAGAAAGAGGGACTCTTTATGATGAACTCTTTCTTCCAGAAGCGGCCCCACAGGAAGTGGACTTGGTTGAGCCCCGACGGTTCGACAAAAAATGAGATTGACTTCATTATGACGACCAGACGACAACTGATCGCGAGGGAGAAAACCGGCAGCGATCACCGAATGGTGCGAGGCACACTGAACCTAAACGTTAAGTTGGAGAGGTCACGTCTAATAAAGTCAACGCTCCGTCCCCCTCGTGCTCTAATCCAAAATCCCGAAACCTTTCAGCTCGAGCTACAAAACCGTTTTCAGTGCCTAGAAGATTGCAATGCAGTGGACGATATGAATGACAAGCTCGTGGAAACTGTCCATGCGGTCGGAGCTAAGTTTTGCAAGACCCGCCGCAGAAGAACACAAAAACTCTCCGGTCACAATCTTAATCTCATGGCTGCTAGACGGGATATGAAGCTGCAGTCTTCAGTAGATTTGACAGCATACAGGCAACTGAACAGACAGATCTCTGAGACTTACGCTTACTATAATACTGCTCGTATTAAAGAAGCGATCGAGCGGAACCAGGGCTCCAAAGCCTTTGTTAGAAATCTGTCTGCTAGAAAGAGCCAACTGTCGAAGCTGAAGACCGAGTGTGGCAGCGTTGTTTCCGGGACACCTGAGATTTTGGGTGAGATTGAGAGGTTCTATGGGCAGCTGTACATATCATCGTTGGAGCCACACGTAAGTGTGAGTAACGATCCAAGAGCGAGTCTTATCCGACACTATTCCGATGATATCCCGGACGTCAGTCTGAGCGAGATTAGAATGGCTCTCCAGCACCTTAAAAACGGCAAGGCCCCAGGCGAGGATGGAATTACAGCGGAGCTTCTGAAAGCGGGTGGAAAACCGGTAATTGAAGTCCTTCAGAGGCTCTTTAATTCCGTCCTCCATGGTGGCACTACACCGGAGGCGTGTAGCAGAAGCGCGGTGGTCTTATTCTTCAAGAAAGGTGACAACGCTCTCTTATGGTCCCCACTCACGGTCAGTTAAACTGACATCAGTTCAACTGATGACTTCAAACGGATTTAATCCAAAAAAACTTCGACACACACGGTCAGTTCAACTGATCAGTTCAAACTAGGGAGTTAATATTTTTAAAATATCGGATTTTCAATATATCGAAAAAAATATCGACATATCAACTTTGTTTAAAAAAAAACAATCGTAAGTCTTTTACTTTAGTTCGTTTATTATATTTATTAAGCAAATTAAATTATAACTGTATTAAAATGTTAGATTATAGTTCTTAGTTAAAGTTACAGCCTACATAAGACCCATTGCTGGGCACAGGCCTCCCCTCATTTCTAAGAGGGTTTTAGGGCAAGGAAGTGTCCACCGCGCTGCCCCGATGCGTGTTGGCGACCTTCACATGTCTTCGAAATATTTTTTTCTTATTTCTCAGAAATGCAGGTTTCCTCACGATGTTTTTCTTCACCCCTGAGTACGCGGTAAATCAGCACTTAAAATTGCAATTCATTGGTTCCGGCGAGGATCGAACTCGGGATGCTCGAGTACTGTCAAATTTACAGCGGGCGCTAACCATCTGAGTTACACGGCTCATAATTCTTAGTAATTATTGTTTAATTTAAATAAGACAATTATGTGTACCAATATTTTTCCGTAAGAGTTTTCAAAAATACTCATAGTTTTATATGTTCAACTGTTTGATGACTACAATCATTGGGCACTAAAAGTTTGATTGTAGAAGCACAGGTGCTACAGATGTAGCTGAAGAAATCAAATATTTAACAGCTATTTCTGATAGTACGGGAGTAAACTGTCTATCCAGCGGTACGTAATACTATTATTTATTCTGCGCCAGCGGACAGTCGATGACGACAGTCACTCAAGTTCATAAGACGCCTAAGCGATCAAAATAACTTGAGGTTTATATCAACATCGAAGCACTTTTTTCTTCGTTTACTCTAATAGTTCACATGCGCAGATATGATAAAACAGGAGCAACAATCCGTTGACAGTCAAGTTCTCGCCAAAGCTCACAGTAAGTAAAGTAGTACTAAGTTTCATAGATTATAGTAATTTTAATACCACAGAGATGTACTATACAAAATGACATTTGTTTTTAAGACAATAAGCAAATAAACAAACTGGGGAAAATTGAAAAGCATAATATAGTAGGTAGTAGTAGATTAAATGATTTACGAGAAAAAAATAAACTTTTTATTTAAAAATATCGACTAACGATATCTATATTTCAAAATCATACTATCGGTATATTTTCCAAAAAATATTTGTAATAAATGTCGATATTTCTAAATAATAAGATCGATTTTTGGATATATCGATATTTTATCAACAGTCCTAGTTTAAACGCGTAGATTACCTACTGTATTCTATTCAAACTATGTCATTTCTCGATCGACGGGGCCGCGCGTATACGTGCGCTACATGTGTGGCTAACAAACCTCTCACCGCGTCAGTTGAAAAAAATGGATTCATCTTCTGAAAAGGATATTTTACTTACTGCGACTGCCGTTTGTTGCCATTTAATAACTTCAAAACCCAAAAAGAAATGGACGAAAGAATGGTTAAAAAAGAGATATCAATTATCTCATATTAATTTATTAAATGAGTTATCACTGGAACCAAGTGACTGGCGTAATGCTTCCTCTACACTACTCGCGAAGTAGATCGAAGTTGGACGAGGCGAATAGTGTAGAGAGGTACTTCGATTCACTTCGTCCAACCTCGCTTCGCCTCGGGCGACTTCCGATCGCTGTCGGTTTTTTGTGCCAGAGTCAAAGGGCTTCGCGAAGTACCTCGAAGTGACACGAAGCGTCTCACTACACTACTCGGCATACGTCCATTAGCGCTTTGACGCCGTACTGTTCACACGTGGGTGCGCGCGCATAAAATTATAATGACTGCGACCTGGTCACAGGAACAAGTCCTTTTCTTCTTGGAAACACTACAATCAGAGCGAGTTATTTGGGACCCAACTGACAGAGGACATAAAGACAGAAAAAAAATCAACGATGCTTGGGTGCGCATTCAAGGAATTTTCAATATGCCTATCCTAGAACTGAAAAAAAAGAAAGAATCTCTTTTTGCCACCTACAGGGGCTATTGCAGAAAAAAACAAGATTCACTTAAATCCGGTGCCGGCGTGGATGATATTTATCTTCCAGTATGGTTTGCATTTGAACATATGGATAATTTTTTGGGACCAGTATTTAAATGTAAACAAACAATGACAACGGTGAGTTTTTATTATTTAATTAGTGAGTAGGTTAAAAATTAATTCATTTCAATGCATGCTAATGTAAAGTAAATGCACACCTGTTTCACGGCTTTATTCAAATACGAGTATATTATGAAAATGTATTTTATTTCCATATTTCATGAATTCCAACAACAGATAGGCAAGATTTCTCCAAAGTATATGAATGGTGTTGTTACTGTTTATTTTTTTACATTTGTATGCATTGTATGATTTTCATTACATTTAGTAATAAATTTTAACCGACTTCAAAACGGAGGAGGTATGCAACTCGAGTGTGTTTGTTTTGTATGTATGTTACTTACGCGATATCTTCGCAGATTGTTACACAATTTCGATAATTGTTTTTTTATTAAATAGGTGATCCCATATAAGGGTGGTCTCATTATAATTTGGAGAAAAAAATTCATCCCAAAGGGTAGAAAATAAATAACTTTGTTTTTAGCGATTTGAATTCGGTTTTTACTTTTTGTCAAAAGTTTATAACTTTTATTAACAAACAAAAACGGGACAAAAAAAGTCTTTTATTGACCAAACAATCTTTATTAGGCTTTTTACATAATTAATAGTATTTATATGCCGGATTTCCATATCCAAGGATTTAATAAGCATACAATAATTAATTATTTCTAAAAAGATACTCCGCAAAATGATCTCTTATCTGAGTGGCAGATAATGTTGATCTGCGTGGTATTTGTGCAATATTTCTCAAAGCACAGTTTTTATCAACGTTCTGCCGCCAAGTTCCAGGTTGAAGTAATACTCCGTTTTCATCATATGTGTCCACAATACCGGGTGGCATATAAATATGAGATGAATTATTACTTTTTCTGAGAAAGTTGTGCAATAAGAGACAAGTCATTATAATAATAGGAACGGTTTCGATATTTATATCAATTGGCTTTTTGAATATTCTAAACCTGTTTGCTAAAATACCAAAAACATTCTCAACTACAACCCGAGACCTTGACAAGCGTGTATTAAAAATTCGTTTAGGCGAACCAATATTATGAGTACCAGGATATGGTTTCATTATATTATTATGCAAAGCAAATGCTCCGTCAGCCAAAAACACGTAGGGAATATTAGCTTTATCAGCGCTAGACAATGAGCGTGGCTTAGGCAAATTAAGAGTTTCGGATGAAATTTTTTGCCACAACGAAGAATTTTTAAATACACCTCCGTCACTGATCCTTCCTTGACTGCCAATGTTGGCATACATCAATTTATAATTACAGTCCACTAAAGCCAATAGTACTATACTGAATGTTTTCTTATAATTGAAGTACTCAGAACCCGAATTGTCTGGACATTGTATAATAATATGCTTTCCATCAATTACACCAACAGCATGCGGGAAATTATTTTTAAATCCGTTTTCAACTTCTAACCACTGCTGCTCATTGACTGGCATCTGAAATACAAAAAAAAATTTATAACCAGATTGCGTTTTTTATTTCAGGACACTGCAACTGTTCCTAATGAACTTGAAGAGGAAAATGAGGCCGCCGAATCAACAGATTCTTCGATTCCACCAGATACGCTTAATTCATGTGAGGCACTCGATCCAACACCAACGCAAAATAGGACTATCCGGCGTCGTCTCAACCCACCAGAATTACAAATTGCCAGCAAACAAATGTCTGAGGCATTTAACAATTTAAATAAAATGATTAACAAGCAAGATGTTGTTGAAGATGAGTGTGACATATTTGGCAAACTGATTGCCAAAAAATTAAAGAAGATACCTGAACATGAAAGGGAAGAAATAATGTTCGACATTCATGCCTTATTTCGAAGACCACGTAGTTTTGAAAGATCATCTGTTGATTCATTACGTTCCCCTACACCAACTTGTAGAAATTATCCTAATGTCACAATGACTTCTCCCAGGCCACACTCATCATTTTCAGAGCCTCACAACTCATTTGTACCATTTTCCGATGGAACTGACGGAAGACAATACATGTTACATATCCCGGAAACAAATGAAAATACTTTCCTTAATGAAAAATCTTCAATGGTTCACATTATAAGGGATGAAGTTGTTAGGCCAGCCGATAAAATTTCTTCGGTAACCAGCCCAACTACAATCCAAACTCGATTCGTCCCCTACCAAACGTCTTCTATGAATAATATAATAAATCAAGCATACTATAAGTCTGAATAATACCTACTCATAATTTTAATTGTAATTTTAAATAGTAATAAGCTTAAATTAAATAAAATTATGTTCAAAAATTTTAAACATCTACCTTTATTTCATCCTTAAGAACGTCGTTAAGAGCTTTGCAAACATCAACTACTATTTTTGAAATTAACTGACTTGAAATTTTAAATAAATAGTGCAGGCTTTTAAAACTGTCGCCAGTTGCTAAAAATCTCAAAGTGACTGCTAAACGAATCTTGGCAGGTATAGCTTCCCTTAAATGAGTATCTTGCTTAGAGATAAGTGGCAGAACTTTGGAAAGCAAGTAATTAAAATCCGTCAAAGACATTCGATGGAAATTTTCGAATTCTCCAGATGGTTCTTGTATCAGTTCAACAAATTGTTGCTCCATACTATGTCTGCAAAAATATGAAATATAAATTAAAAATAGTCATAATAGTAATAATAATATGTGCATATATTTAGACTTTTCTACTTGTGGTAAAAGTTCTTAATTTTGCCTTGTTTACTAACCTAGTTCTGTTCCGGTGCATTGCAATCATCCACCATCTCCTTTTTCTCCATTTCTTTTTAATTTTTGTTGTATATAAAACACGCACGTAATTATAATACGCGAGCGAACACATTGCAACAGCAGCTGCCTCTTGAACGTTATTCATGTTACGGGTACGGGAGACCCAAGACGACTGAGCTCTTCGCGAAGTAGCACGAGTGTGTGGTTACGTACTTCGGCTTCGATGGACTTCGACGAGCACTTCGTCGAAGTTACTTCGCGAGTAGTGTAGAGGAAGCATAACTATTTAAGAATGGACGAATACACATATTTCAAGCTACTTGAACTTGTGGCACATCTTAAATTATTGATTTTTTAAGTTACGGAATCCATATTTGCATTTTTGTCTTGTTTACGCAATATCTGCAACAGCGCCTCTAATGCAGACAATCTTTTTTGTTTATTTTTATAAAATGGGTTGTTTATTTTCCACAAACATTCACACTCGTGGTATTTTTCAATGAATTCTGCAGTTACTGCACGTACAGACGCCATCGCGGTGAAGCTCCTAATGACGGCCAACGGTGTAAATTCTGTTCGCTTAGATACGGTTTCCTTTGTGTTAGCACATGGCACATGCCGCTACTTGTCAAAGGCGCCGCCGCATTATCAAAGATCGTCGCCGCGACATCAAAGGTCGTCGCATGCGGCATACATCCGCACGTGAATTTGGCAAAAATAGTGTCCATTTTACTTTCGTTTATGCTTACTTTCATGAAAATTCTCTTTGCTACATAACTTGTGTTTATTATTTATATTCGTATTTTGTTACAATAACCATAACAATAAATTAGTATTCTATTTCATTCTTAGAATAGATAAACATTTATTTAAATACAGTAAAAAATAATTAAATATGTATAAGCAAAATAATAAGTGCGCCTGCGGTTGACCGACATCTTGGTGAACAGACTATAGGCACAATTTAAATAATGTTACTACATAACAGATATAATATCTCTCCTATACAAAAGCGAAAATATCTACGCTGTAACAATCTACAATTTTTTTATAATAATCGCAGACGTTAGCTGCAAACAGAAATACCTTCTGCTCGCGTACCGGAAGCTGAGAACGCTTTGCCCACCGCGCGACCATCGTATAGCTGCGTCATCGAGCGAACGTGCTAGGATTGTACCAAAAATTATAAAATAAAAACTCGAATTAATGAAATAATTATTTGATTTGTTTGATAATACAATTTGTTGAGGTTTATAAAATAAGAAATTATTGGTATTGTATTAGGTTACATAACACATATACTCGTACACTATGTTTAGTTTAGTTTTCTCTAGTCACAAGAAAATGTTTTCTCCCCCATTAGGGTGAGGGGAGGGGGACTTAAATATTAATTTTTAGTTTAGAAGTGTCACAGACTAAAGATCAGATATTATGATAATTTAATTCATTGTGGTTAATTTTATTTATTTAATAAATATGTTATTTATTTTAAATTACCTATCTTTAGAGCGTGCGCCACCCCATTGACAAACATCTAAACCCGGAGCAATTATTTGTAGGCCATAGTTGTTCCGTGCGGAATTCGAACCCGCGGCCCTCGCATTGCAAATCATTGCTAAGCCACTGCGCCACGTAGCCATCAATTTGATGATAATAAAAACTTTATTGCTCAATGTAAGGAAGGGTAATATGCAACATCAAGGAAAATTAAGAATATAACAACGTGAACGTCTTTGAAACTCAGATAATTTATCTACTTACCATTTTAACCGACTTCAAAAAAAGGAGGAGGTACTCAAGTCGACTGTTTCTTTGTATGTTACCCCAGAACTTTTTTCTAGGTGAATCGGTTTTAATGATTCTATTTTTATTTGAAAGCTAGTGCTTATAACTTATACATCCCATAGAAAAATGATCAAGATCTGACCAATGGTTTTGGAGTTATCCTTAATAATGCGTATTAGTATTGAAGTCGGTTGTACAAAACTTTTAATTTCATTTGTTGTCTCTCTTCCTCTCTTTTTAAAAAACGTTACCTCCACACTAGTATTTTCTTCTGTATCGCAGGGACAGTTTACATACATAGAACAGACCCAGAATAATTACACATATTTGTAGGCCATACAAATACTTGTTCCGTCCGGGCACCATCAGAAAGGTGAGATCATAACAGTCACCTAGATCTTTATGAGCCCTTTCAAATAAGTTCAAACACGATCGTTCTATCTAGTGCCGTCACTGAGATCCTATATCCACCTTCGGATTGCACCATCAGAAAGGTGAGATCATAACAGTCACCTAGATCTTTATGAGCCCTTTCAAATAAGTTCAAACACGATCGTTCTATCTAGTGCCGTCACTGAGATCCTATATCCACCTTCGGATTGCACCATCAGAAAGGTGAGGTTATAACAGTCACCTCGGTCTTTATGAGCCCTTTCAAATAAGTTCAAACACGATCGTTCTATCTAGTGCCGTCACTGAGATCCTATACCCACCTTCGGATTGCACCATCAGAAAGGTGAGGATATAACAGTCACCTCGGTCTTTATGAGCCCTTTCAAATAAGTTCAAACACGATCGTTCTATCTAGTACCGTCACTGAGATCCTATATCCACCTTCGGATTGCACCATCAGAAAGGTGAGATCATAACAGTCACCTAGATCTTTATGAGCCCTTTCAAATAAGTTCAAACACGATCGTTCTATCTAGTGCCGTCACTGAGATCCCATACCCACCTTCGGATTGCACCATCAGAAAGGTGAGGTTATAACAGTCACCTCGATCTTTATAAGCCCTTTCAAATAAGTTCAAACACGATCGTTCTATCTAGTGCCGTCACTGAGATCCTATACCCACCTTCGGATTGCACCATCAGAAAGGTGAGGTTATAACAGTCACCTCGGTCTTTATGAGCCCTTTCAAATAAGTTCAAACACGATCGTTCTATCTAGTGCCGTCACTGAGATCCTATACCCACCTTCGGATTGCACCATCAGAAAGGTGAGGTTATAACAGTCACCTCGGTCTTTATAAGCCCTTTCAAATAAGTTCAAACACGATCGTTCTATCTAGTGCCGTCACTGAGATCCTATACCCACCTTCGGATTGCACCATCAGAAAGATGAGGTTATAACAGTCACATCGGTCTTTATGAGCCCTTTCAAATAAGTTCAAACACGATCGTTCTATCTAGTGCCGTCACTGAGATCCCATACCCACCTTCGGATTGCACCATCAGAAAGGTGAGGTTATAACAGTCACCTCGATCTTTATAAGCCCTTTCAAATAAGTTCAAACACGATCGTTCTATCTAGTGCCGTCACTGAGATCCCATACCCACCTTCGGATTGCACCATCAGAAAGATGAGGTTATAACAGTCACCTCGGTCTTTATAAGCCCTTTCAAATAAGTTCAAACACGATTGTTCTATCTAGTGCCGTCACTGAGATCCCATACCCACCTTCGGATTGCACCATCAGAAGGATGAGGTTATAACAGTCACCTAGATCTTTATGAGCCCTTTCAAATAAGTTCAAACACGATCGTTCTATCTAGTGCCGTCACTGAGATCCTATATCCACCTTCGGATTGCACCATCAGAAAGGTGAGGTTATAATAGTCACCTCGGTCTTTATGAGCCCTTTCAAATAAGTTCAAACACGATCCTTCTATCTTGTGCCGTCACTAAGATCCTATACCCACCTTCGGATTGCACCATCAGAGAGGTGAGGTTATAAAAGTCACCTAGGTCTTTATACGACCTTTCAAATAAGTTCAAACACGATCGTTCTATCTAGTGCCGTCACTGAGATCCTATACCCACCTTCGGATTGCACCATCAGAAAGGTGAGGTTATAACAGTCACCTCGGTCTTTATGAGCCCTTTCAAATAAGTTCAAACACGATCGTTCTATCTAGTGCCGTCACTGAGATCCTATACCCACCTTCGGATTGCACCAACAGAAAGATGAGGTAATAACAGTCACCTCGGTCTTTATAAGCCCTTTCAAATAAGTTCAAACACGATCGTTCTATCTAGTGCCGTCACTGAGATCCCATACCCACCTTCGGATTGCACCATCAGAAAGATGAGGTTATAACAGTCACCTCGGTCTTTATAAGCCCTTTCAAATAAGTTCAAACACGATCGTTCTATCTATTGCCGTCACTGAGATCCCATACCCACCTTCGGATTGCACCATCAGAAAGGTGAGGTTATAACAGTCACCTCGATCTTTATAAGCCCTTTCAAATAAGTTCAAACACGATCGTTCTATCTAGTGCCGTCACTGAGATTCTATACCCACCTTCGGATTGCACCATCAGAAAGGTGAGGTTATAACAGTCACCTCGGTCTTTATGAGCCCTTTCAAATAAGTTCAAACACGATCGTTCTATCTAGTGCCGTCACTGAGACCCTATATCCACCTTCGGATTGCACCATCAGAAAGGTGAGGTTATAACAGTCACCTCGGTCTTTATAAGCCCTTTCAAATAAGTTCAAACACGATCGTTCTATCTATTGCCGTCACTGAGATCCCATACCCACCTTCGGATTGCACCATCAGAAAGGTGAGGTTATAACAGTCACCTCGGTCTTTATGAGCCCTTTCAAATAAGTTCAAACACGATCGTTCTATCTAGTGCCGTCACTGAGATCCTATACCCACCTTCGGATTGCACCATCAGAAAGATGAGGTTATAACAGTCACCTCGGTCTTTATAAGCCCTTTCAAATAAGTTCAAACACGATCGTTCTATCTGGTGCCGTCACTGAGATCCCATACCCACCTTCGGATTGCACCATCAGAAAGATGAGGTTATAACAGTCACCTCGGTCTTTATAAGCCCTTTCAAATAAGTTCAAACACGATCGTTCTATCTAGTGCCGTCACTGAGATCCCATACCCACCTTCGGATTGCACCATCAGAAAGGTGAGGTTATAACAGTCACCTCGATCTTTATAAGCCCTTTCAAATAAGTTCAAACACGATCGTTCTATCTAGTGCCGTCACTGAGATCCTATACCCACCTTCGGATTGCACCATCAGAAAGATGAGGTTATAACAGTCACCTCGGTCTTTATAAGCCCTTTCAAATAAGTTCAAACACGATCGTTCTATCTGGTGCCGTCACTGAGATCCCATACCCACCTTCGGATTGCACCATCAGAAAGATGAGGTTATAACAGTCACCTCGGTCTTTATAAGCCCTTTCAAATAAGTTCAAACACGATCGTTCTATCTAGTGCCGTCACTGAGATCCCATACCCACCTTCGGATTGCACCATCAGAAAGATGAGGTTATAACAGTCACCTCGGTCTTTATAAGCCCTTTCAAATAAGTTCAAACACGATCGTTCTATCTATTGCCGTCACTGAGATCCCATACCCACCTTCGGATTGCACCATCAGAAAGGTGAGGTTATAACAGTCACCTCGATCTTTATAAGCCCTTTCAAATAAGTTCAAACACGATCGTTCTATCTAGTGCCGTCACTGAGATTCTATACCCACCTTCGGATTGCACCATCAGAAAGGTGAGGTTATAACAGTCACCTCGGTCTTTATGAGCCCTTTCAAATAAGTTCAAACACGATCGTTCTATCTAGTGCCGTCACTGAGACCCTATATCCACCTTCGGATTGCACCATCAGAAAGGTGAGGTTATAACAGTCACCTCGGTCTTTATAAGCCCTTTCAAATAAGTTCAAACACGATCGTTCTATCTATTGCCGTCACTGAGATCCCATACCCACCTTCGGATTGCACCATCAGAAAGGTGAGGTTATAACAGTCACCTCGATCTTTATAAGCCCTTTCAAATAAGTTCAAACACGATCGTTCTATCTAGTGCCGTCACTGAGATCCTATACCCACCTTCGGATTGCACCATCAGAAAGGTGAGGTTATAACAGTCACCTCGGTCTTTATGAGCCCTTTCAAATAAGTTCAAACACGATCGTTCTATCTAGTGCCGTCACTGAGATCCTATACCCACCTTCGGATTGCACCATCAGAAAGATGAGGTTATAACAGTCACCTCGGTCTTTATAAGCCCTTTCAAATAAGTTCAAACACGATCGTTCTATCTGGTGCCGTCACTGAGATCCCATACCCACCTTCGGATTGCACCATCAGAAAGATGAGGTTATAACAGTCACCTCGGTCTTTATAAGCCCTTTCAAATAAGTTCAAACACGATCGTTCTATCTAGTGCCGTCACTGAGATCCCATACCCACCTTCGGATTGCACCATCAGAAAGGTGAGGTTATAACAGTCACCTCGGTCTTTATGAGCCCTTTCAAATGAGTTCAAACACGATCCTTCTATCTTGTGCCGTCACTAAGATCCTATACCCACCTTCGGATTGCACCATCAGAGAGGTGAGGTTATAAAAGTCACCTAGGTCTTTATACGACCTTTCAAATAAGTTCACACACTATCGTTCTATCTAGTGCCGTCACTGACATCCTATACCCACCTTCGGATTGCACCATCAGAGAGGTGAGGTTATAAAAGTCACTTAGGTCTTTATAAGCCCTTTCAAATGAGTTCAAACACGATTCTTCTATCTAGTGCCGTCACTGAGATCATATACCCACCTTCGCATTGCACCATCAGAGAGGTGAGGTTATAAAAGTCACCTAGGTCTTTATGAGCCCATTCAAATGAGTTCAAACGCGGTCATTCTATCTAGTGTCGTCACTGAGATCCTATACCACCTTCGGATTGCACCAACATAAAGGTGATATCATCACAATCATCTAGGTTTCCATTTACCTATTTGAAAATGAGTCCAAACACGATGGTTCTACGTAGTAGCATCACTGAGATCCTTTACCCACCTTCTGAGTCCACCATAAGGAAGGTGACATCATTACAATCACCTTGGTCTCCATTCTCCGTCAAAACAACTTCTCTAAATATTTAAAATAATATAAAATCTAAACAGCATACAAATAATGTAAGTAGCTACTAAGAAAGTATGTATTTACCAATAATGGAAACGAACTGAAGCCAGCGGATTACGGTGCGCCCGGAATAATACGTGGATTGCCGTCAGTTCAAAATTTTAACTTAAGATTTCACATTCACGATCAGTTTTTTGATGTACGTCAGTTCGACTGAGTACTTTAACTGACAGCACGCCCGAAAAAATCCGTGTGTTGCCTTCAGTTAAAAATTTCAACTTAAGATTTCGCATTCACGGTCAGTTTTTGGATGTACGTCAGTTAAACTGTTCAGTTTAACTGACCGTGAGTGGGGACCATTAAAGAACTACAGACCGATTTCCCTTCTGAGCCGCGTCTACGTACTGTTTTCGAGAGTTATTACAAATTAACTTATTAAACTTGTGTCTGAAGTCGAGTCTTTGCTGGACAAAGTCTCGGATTGGGGGCGACTAAATCTAGTCCA